GAGATGGCCCTGCCCTTTGCTTGCTTTGATTCTCATCCCTGACTCCTTTTGAGATGACAGCAACTGCTCCATTTACTGGCCACTTATTACAAGATTCTGTTTAGAACGTTCTGTGTGCGGCCGTAATGAGAAAGCTTCCCCAACCAACCTGTGAGGAGGTGCTGCTGTGACCCCCCATTCTATAAAGGAGAAAACTGAGTCCTGGAGAGAGGTCACTAATGCCTATGGTCCCAAAGCTAGGTGGTCTGACACCAAATCCACACTAACCAGAGGGCAGTGTATTTAAACAAAACAAAAACAATTGAAATGAATTTCTGGCCCCACATGCCCTTCCGGACCCTGTAATTACCCCATCAGAGGTGAGGCCTGTGTTCTCTTCCCTGAGCCGGGAAGTCCTCTAAGACTGTCTGGACATACAGAGCAACATGGAAGCAATGCTATGGCTTCCAAGAACAAGACCAAAAAGGCAATAGCTTCCTCCTGGCTAGTGCTTGCACTGAAACAATTTCTCTCCTACCCGCCCCCCACCAATCCCCTTGTTTTGGAGCCTGTGCGGTTGTGTAGGAAACCCAGCTTTCTGAAGCCTCCATGCCGGAGAGGCCCTGAGAGTGACCCTGTGACCACAGGAAGAGAGCGATGTCTGGCCAGTCTCCGGAGCTACAGCTCACACACCACCTGGTGCCACTGTGAGATCCTGGAGGCGGATCTACTCAGCCGCGCCTTTCCCAAATGCCTGGCCCACAGAAACGTGAGGCACAATAAGTCACTGATATCTTAAGTCACTAAATTTTGGAGAAACCCGTTACGCACAACAGATAACTGATACAACTATGCTGCTATTTCTCTAGAAATAGCCGTTGCTACGGGCTCTCCATTTCAAATATCTCCATGCTAGTCCCTGGCAGTACCAGCCCCAATTTGTACTGGCTAATCAATACTGACACCCTCAAATTTGTTTTCTCTACTCCTGGATTCAGGTCTACAATTGTGTGTGTGTGAGGAACTCTGGGTATTGACTTGTTTTGGGGGCTCAGAGCTCTCTGCAGTGGGAGTTTCCCAAGATGAAGGAATCGTTGAGTGGAGACGGCTAAGGTCCGCAAGGTACAGGCGTTATTTTACTTGTCCAGTTTACCCAAGAACCCCCTTTGGGGAGCTCCTTTACAACACTGGGTCAAGCAACCCGGGTGCCCTCCCTTCCCCTGGCCAAGGGGAAGATGGTGGCCCCAGCCAGGCCAACCCCATGCCCTCACATCAGAATGGGAACCGAAGCTGGAGGAGCTGGGTTCCCCTCACAATGGTTCCCGGCAGGACCTGTCCCCTGCCGCCCGTCCCAGGATGTCCTGCTCGCTGCCCTGTTACTTACCACTCCGAATGCCCTTCCGCTTTGTGTGATTCCCGGAGCCTTCCAAGCCTTTTATTTTAGGCTTAAATTAGCCAGGTTGGTTTCTATTGCCAGTAACGAAAGCACTGGCTAATGTAGGAGGCTGGGATTGTGGCTTCCTACCAACGTGGGTGGGGGACTGAATTCAGGGTCCAGGTGACAGGGCAGAATGAAGACTCTAATTCCCACTGTCTTTTGCAGGCAGGGACGTCCGTGTGACCGGGTTCCGACCAGTGGGATGCAATTAGAAGTGACACGCAGTTCCCACAAAGGAGAGGACATGCCCTCTTCCCGCGCCCCTTTGTGCTGCGGTCAGAGGAAGATGCGAGAGCGGGAGGGTGCGCAGCCATCTGGGCCAGGAGGTGGAGCCCTCCTTCAGCAACAGGAGGAAAGGCGCTGGGCATGCTGAGCCGAGGGGAGCCACACCAGCGCTGCATGGCCTGCCTCTGGGCCTCTCCCAGGAAACAGAGGAAACCTCCGTTTCACTGAAACCACTGGTATCTGGGGGTTTTCTGCTACAAGCCTCACAGAGAAAGCTCCTGAGAAAACAGCCCGTCTGATGCTTTCATCTGATTCTCAGAGGGGACCTTGACCCCACAAAATACAAAGAAACACAGGAAAAATGAATCAAGGCTGAAGGAAGATTCATTCAGGGAGGATCCAAGATGGCTGCTCGGGTAGACACCTAACCGCAGCAGCACACAACAATTTCAATGGAATACAACTAAAATGTAGAGTGGACATTGCCCAGAGCTACAGGTAGTCGACCGACTGAAAATTCTACAACAAGAAGGAAAGAGAAAACCAGAAGGAAAATCAGAGGAGCTGAAAAAAAGCCTAAGGTACGGAGACATGATGCGCGCTCCCACGCACGCGCGCGCAGAGAGGTCACAGCCAGAGAGGAGAGGGCTGGATGCTGCCTGGCATTCCCTAGCAGGAAGGAAATAAAACCCCCAGCCTGGGCTAAACCCCCGAACCGGCAGCGCTGACCCACAGTTATGAGCCAGACCCTGGGGACCCAGGCTCTGGTGGGGGAGACGGGGCTGTGAGGCGGAATCCCAAGCAAGCAGCAAAAAGCAGGGCCCCCGGAGTCACGCGCACATTGTGCGCAGAGGACTGAATGTTGACTTTGATGCTGGATTACCCTAACGTGAAGAAACAAAGCCTCCGGCGGCGCTATGCCTCAGTCCGGACTGCTCTGAACCCCAGTCCTGGACCAGACCATGGAGACCCAGGCTCGGGCAGGGGGAGACGGGGCTGTGAGGCGGAATCCCAGGGGAGTGGCGAAAAGCGGAGCCCCCAGAGTCGCGCGCACTGCGCGCAGAGGACAGTCTGTTGACTGTGATCCTGGACTCCCCTAGAGGGAAGGAGAAAAAAAAAAGCTCCAGACTGGAGGAACGCGACAAGGAGCAGGAGCCCCTGCCGGACACCAGCCAGCCGGGCGCTGGCAGGGAGCCGGGCGCCGGGGCCCCCGGGGGGGGGGGCGGGGCGGCCCTGAGCCATCGACCTCTGAGCGAGGCAACGGAGCCAAGGCTGGGGGCTGCTTCCTGGGCGGCGCCGACCCCGGCAACAGGCTGGAGCAGCGTGGGAGCCCGCAGAGAACAAAGGGGTGCCACAGGCCAACCTGCTGAGCTCCCAGGACAGGAGGACGAAACCAAAGTTCTCAATGTGAAGACATCAAGTGAGAGCAAAAGATAGTAAAATTACTTAAGAAAGAATACAAAGAAGATCTTGAAAATTCAAAGACTAAGTCAGAACTCAACTCACCAGCCAACATTGCAACATAAATGCATTTAAAAAAAAAAAAAAAAAAAAGGACAGAATGTTGGAACAGCGGCCAGGCCTAGAGTGCCCAGGCACAAAGCAATGGCAACCGGGCCCGGAGCAGCAACGGCCAGGCCCCAGAGCAGCAGCAGCCAGAACCAGAGCAACAACAGCCAGCACTGGAGCAGCCAGACCTGGGGCAGTGGCAGCCAGGCCTGAGGCAGAGGCAGCCAAGCCCAGGATGGCCAATCCAGGAACACCCAGACCTGGAGTGGCCGGGCCCGGAGAAGCCGGGCCCAGAGCAGCCGGGTTGGGAGCAGCCAGGTCCAGAACAGCAGTAGCCAAGCCCGGAGCATCCAGGCTGGGAGCGGCCAGACTCGAAGCGGCCGGGCCCGGTGCAGCTGGGCCCAGAGCAGCCGGGTCTGGTGCGGCCAGGCCCAGAGCAGCAGCTGCCAGGCTGGGAGCGGCCAGGCCCGGAGCAGCCGGGCCTGGTGTGGCCAGGCCCGGAGCAGCGGCTGCAAGGCTGGGAGCGGCCAGGCCCGGAGCAGCCGGGCCTGGTGCGGCCAGGCCCGGAGCAGCGGCTGCCAGGCTGGGAGCGGCCAGGCCCGGAGCAGCCAGGCCTGGTGTGGCCAGGCCTGGAGCAGCGGCTGCCAGGCTGGGAGCGGCCAGGCCCGGAGCAGCCGGGCCTGGTGTGGCAAGGCCCGGAGCAGCGGCTGCCAGGCTGGGAGCGGCCAGGCCCGGAGCAGCCGGGTCTGGTGTGGCCAGGCCCGGAGCAGCGGCTGCCAGGCTGGGGGTGGCCAGGCCCGGAGCAGCCGGGTCGGGTGCGGCCAGGCCCGGAGCAGCAGCAGCCAGGTCCAGAGCAACTAGGTCGGGAGCGGCGGTGACCAGACCCGGAGCAGCTGGTTGTGGAACAAACCAGAGCAACACAGGCCAGGCCCGGAACAGCCAGGCCCGGAACAGCTCACTCTTCGCCTGCCCCTGCCCCACGGCTGCCTCTCAGACATGGCTGGAAACTTTTGTGGGAACTTGAGGGTCTGCTGAAACAAGTGATGAAGGCTTAGATCTGGATGTGTTGAGTTAGTATAGGGCTGGGGTGTTGATCTGTGAGTGCCTTGGGTGGGGCCTGGATGAGGCTGGTTGACCTATTTGGAAACGTCTTTTGTGTGAAATGTATCATTGGGCATGTGGTGGTATTATTGATATGAGAAAATGCTAAGTAACTGATTTACTATCTGAAAAGGGATTTACTATCGGGAAAAGGGAGGGAGGAAGAGACTGAACATAAACTGCACCTATGGATGAGGACAATGGGGGATGGGGAGGGGGCGGAGGGTGGGGTGGGAACCTGGTGGAGGGGGGAAGAAATGAGGAACCTTTGTAACAATATGAACAATAAAGATTGATTTAAAAAAAAAAAAAAAAAAAGGCTGAAGGAAGAGTGGGGAAGGGATATTGTTTGAGAAGGTTCCGAGGGAGCCTGCTGGGGGAAGGAAATCCCAAACTTGACCTGGGTGGGGCTTACCCATAAACAAAAACTCATGGAGCTGGAGAAGGAGTGCACATGTATGTATATGGTCCTCAATTAGAAAAGTCAGGGAAACATGAAGAACTACTGATAATAAGGAGGGTGGTAACCAGTGTTTTCCTGTTTCCCATGTGCCAGTCATTAATCTAAACACAGTGTATTAACCTCTTCAAGTCAACAAAATCCTCTCAGTGAGGAGCTCTGAGTGCAGCCCCGTTTCTGGACCAGGACACCAGCCTGGAGAGGAGAGGTGGATGGCAGGCCCGGGAGGGGCTGGAATGCCGGGGATGGGAGAGGAGTCGGCAGGCTTCGGGCTCTGGCGATACTCACGGAGTCCTTGAGTGCCAGGAAACAGTGGCAGATCCAGCGGCGGGTGGTCCCATCCCGGCAGATGTAAGAGAAAGCCTTGTCTAGGTTGCGGTCAGGTGCACAGAAGGAGACCTTTTCAATGGTCTGATCCACCAGCAGGTCCTGGGAGTGGCCAGGGAGGCCGAGGAGAATGTGAACTGTCTTCCGTGTATTCACTCAACATCCCCTTAGTGTCTGCTCTGTAGCCCATGCTGATTGGGGTAGGCACCGAGCAGGCACTGTGCATTCTGTCGTGGACCTTACTGGCATGGGGCTCCCAGTTTATCGCAGAACCCGACCCACCACCAGGAGAGAACCCCTGCTGTAATGAGAGAGGTACAGGCAGAGGGATGGGGAAGGCAAGGGGCTTGCAGGAGCCACGAGGAGGTGCCTGACCCAACTTGGATTTATCTGGGGGGTGGAGTCAGGCAACACTTCCTACAAGCAAAAAGCAGGGAACAGTATTTCAGGCTGAGGGGCTGCCTGTGCAAGGTTGTCAATACTGTTCTGTCATTAAACTAACTCTCATCGCGTGCTGGCTGCCTCCTCTTTTGGTCTCTGGCTGGAGGCAGGGAATTCAAAAGTGAGCAAACAGACACCAGATCCTGGCCCCGTGGCACTCCTCTCTGGCTGCGTAGACCAACAACAAACACATAACAGCTAACATTCACTTATGCTGTACCAGGTGATAAAACCAATAGCAGCTTTAAGCAAACGTACTTAGTTGGGAGGGCTTATAGGAATTAGGGCTTATGGAAGTTCTCACACTCTATGTAATCATAAGAACCCTACATGGGAGAACCCTATCTATACATATAAAAGCCTAAGCAATGGGAACGACAGGTTGCTATGACACGCACTGACCATCAGGGGGCAGATGCTCAACACAGGAAATGCGCCTTTGTGGTCAGTGCGCTCTCACAGCCAACCTCCCCCCACATCGGCCAACCTCCCACGGTTCCTCCCTGTCCCCCACCCCCATCCCCACCTGGCCAACAGGCCCCATCACACCCCAAGCTGGGATGGGGAAATGGGGGTGGGTGGCAGCAGACATGGCCCCTTTCCCAGAGGGGCCAAGGCTGGCTCCCTCCTGTGGTCTGGTGGCCAACCTCCCAAGCCATGTCTCTCCCCGCAGCCAGCAGGCCCCAATCAGCCAGCTGCCCGCTGGATTGGCAGTGGGCAGTGAGGGAAAGAGGAAGGGGGGAGGCATCGGCGTTAGGTGTACATTCCTTCCACGCCCAGCCCGGCAACTGTTGCCTCCTCTCCTGACCCTGCCAGGGCCTTCAGGCCCCAATTGGCCTGGCCCTGATCACCAGCCAGGCCCAGGGACCCCACCTGTGCACAAATTTCATGCACCGGGCCTCTAGGGTTTATAGTAAAACTCTATAGCTAACTTCTTCCCTTAACTTCCTCTTCCCTTTTATAAATACCCCTCCATCTTGGCACGCAGGCCAGCGTGTGCATGTGGCTTCTTTTGTCTGTGTGCACTGAGTTGCAACCCTTTCCCTTTCCCTAGTAAATCCTTTTTGGTGACAAAACAACCCATCGGTATTATTTTTCATTTGACACAGGCACAGTTTTAAACCATGTGACAGACTTTCTCAGGTAACAGCAGGGTCTTCATTATCCCCATTTCACAGATGACACAACTGAGGCACAGAAGGGCAACATCTCACACCGAGGGTCACCCAGCTGGTAAGGGGGTGAGCTGGGATCGGAGCTAAGGCAGCCACTCCACAATCTGTGCTCTTACCCACTATCTATGCCAGCTCACAGATAACCACAGGACTCAATGTTGAATTATGACTGGAGTGTGCCATGGTGTGGCAGGAGCACATGGTCTAGAAGGTCCCTGAGGGAGGGACATCCTAGAGGTGGGTGGGTGGGAACACATCCTCGGCCCCATTTGAGCAGGATGAGGAGAGGGGCCCTCTGGAGCCCTCTCCTAACCCTAAGGACCTCTTACCTTGGTCTTGTCATCCACCACACGGAGCCCATCGGCAGACACCCACAGGACGGACTTCACGGACTTCCGGCCCATCTGGGGGGAGGGGAGAACAGAGGGCCGGATGAGGGCTGCCTCTCCGGGTCTGACCTTGCCCCCTCTCTGTGCCAGCCCCTCACTCACAGCCTTCAGCTTCTTCACAGCATCCTCACACACGTGCATCCCCCTGGACTCTTCCACCTCCACGTGACCCAGGTACTTGGAGGGAGGAAACAGGACATGAAATAAGCAGAGTAATCAATAATTGCTAGTGTTCCCTGAGCAGCTGCGATGCACTACACAGTGTCCTAAGCACAACATGTGTATTAACTCATTTACTCTGCACCTCACTCTACCAGATGGGTACCACATTCCCATCCCAGATACACCAACGAGAGTGCCTCTATTCCTGGGCCTGACAACATCATTCTTGTCCTGAGTGCCAGCATCTCCATGAGCCTGAAGACTGGCCCCAGCAATAACTGATGGGATTTGGGGTACACCTGCTCCAGCTCCCTCCGCTGGTGGGTAGATGGCTCTATTTCCCAGAGTCCCCAGAGGCATTAAGCACTGTTGCCCACAGCTGCAATTGAGTAACACATCATTGACTGGCTGCCTTCCCTTCCTCACTCCCACCAGCACTTCCCCCAAGGCCCAATGGTCTGCATCTAGGGGAATGGACCACGTTGATATTTAAACTTGAACCTGCTGTCTCCCTTACAAATGTGTAGAGTGGGTTGTAAAGAGTCACAGAAGGATGTGAAAATGCCACAAAATCTTTATGACTCTCCAGTGCCCTCTGGAAATTGTGAGCTCCCACAAAATAGGGTGACCCAGGCATGATGTCCCCCAGGTAACATTTTCCTGGTACAAGAGAATGTGTGTAGTTTTTTAAATATGTTTTTTTTTTTTAATTGATTTTAGTGAGAGAGAGAGGGAGGAAGAGCGACAGAAAAACATCAATATGAGAAACATCAACCTGCTGCCTCCTACACGCCCCCTACTGGGGGTTTAGCAGACAGCCCACGGGGAATCCAACCAGGGACCTTTGGTGTACCTACACCTGCACACCATCAGCCAGGGCTAGGTTTTTGTTTATTTTTTATTATTTAATTGATTTTTCACAGAGAGGAAGGGAGAGAGATAGAGAGCTAGAAACATCAATGAGAGAGATACATCGACCAGCCGCCTCCTGCACAGCCTCCCCTGGGGATGTGCCCGCAATCAAGGTACATGCCTTTGACCGGAATCTAACCTGGGACCCTTCAGTCCGCAGACCGACGCTCTATCCACTGAGCCAAACAGGTTTCGGCCTGGGCTAGGTTTTTACTGCCGACTCTGAACGACTCAGGCAGTAGGGTCACGCTTGAGCCGGCTCCACAGTTCTCTGTGGATGCGCTGCCTCCCTCAGCCAGGACAGAACCGCTTACCCAACTGGGACACGCATGCGCCCGCCCCACCCGCACCTCACTCACCCTCACGGGGAAGCTGCAGGTGCCCTTGCGCACCGCGTCCTCGTCCGCCTGCCACTGGTGCGGGCGAGACGCCTCGGGCATGTAGGCTGGCTTCCGCCGCCGCAGGCTCTGCCTCAACTTGTTCATTGTGCCAGCCCCGTCTGCTGACAAAGGACAGGGGGCGGGTCAAAGGCCAAGGTCAGAAGTATGGGGCGCAAGGAGGATGGACACAGAGCTCAGGGAGCAAGGGAGCGGATTTAGGGGGTCACTGGGTTAGAGAACATGACCCCCTGGACCAGCAGCCATGACAGGGAAAGAGGTGATGTAAGGCAGGGGAGTGCAAGAGTCAGAAGACATGGAGCTAAGAGATAGGGAGGTCTGGGATAGGGGTCACCGCTTTTAGGGGTCTAGAGATTGGGGATGTGACAGTCTAGAACCCTGAGGATCCAAAGTAATGGGAAGTCAAGGCATTGGAAGGTCTCGCCCGGGAGTACAGGGCATGGAGCCAGGGGTCATGAGGTCAATGGCTTTAGGGGAACAAAGTCAGGGGGTGAGGTGGTCAGAGGGAACATGAGTTGGGAGGTGCATAGGTCCACTGTGTGGGGGCCTCAGAAGGTCCAGGGATGGAGGTCCAGAGTCACGGCAGAGGGTATGAAGAACAAGAGCTTATCTCTGTGTCCCAGAGATACAACCCTCTAACTACTGTGTCTAGTTAAAGCAGGAGACCCTGAGGCAGTGTGCAGCTGGGACTGTCAGAGGTAGGGAGGAAGGTGGAGGGGACCAGCTACTAAGATAGTTTTCACTGACTAAGACAGTCTTCACTGACTGACAAGCCATAGTGGCAGTCCCAGGAAGAGGGTGAAGGCACACCAAGGACAGGGCACCAGCAGATGGGGACTGTGTGTGTGTGTGTGTGTGTGTGTGCAAACAAGTATGCAAATGGTGTTCCTGAATGGTGTCTGTGAGGGTGTCCACAGCTGAGCATGCAACTGTTGTGAGTGTGTGTATTTCTGAAGGCTGTACAGGAGGACGTGGGTCTGAGAATGGCTGTTTCCAAGAGTATGTGTCTGTGCAGGCTGGCCCTGAGAGGATCTATGGCCAAGAGTGTGGTTGCTGTCTGTCAGTGCAGGTCCTCAAAGATTGCTGCTGAAGGGGATCTATTGTATGTGTGAGAGTGGTTGTGAGTGTGTTAGGGAATGTTGCCTGTGAGTATGTGTCACTGAGCAAGAAGCTGGCATCTTTGAACTGTGTGTCTGCATGAGGGTGTGGCTATTGTCATTGATGACTGCTGCCTCTGACAGTACATGTATGACAGTTACCCAAGAGACCATGTCTATGTCCAAGACTGCAGCTGTTGTTTGGGAAGGAATGTCTGCAAGCATGTGGTTGTTATAGAATTGGGTCCATGGGTGTTGTTCTGGGGATGTGCCAGTACACACCCATGAGGCTGTTGGCTGTGAAGAGTTGTTTGTGACAGTTATTTATGAGGATGTGACTATGCGGGAACATGGCTGTTGTCCATGAGTGCTGGGTATTACTGTGAGACTTCTGTATGTAGAAGTGTAACCGTTATGAGAGAATGGGTCCACAGGTACTGTCTATGAGGCAGTGTCTGCTTGAGAAAGTGTGTCTGTTTATAAAGATGTGGGTCTGTACATGCAGTCTGGCTGACTGTGTGCAAAAGTGTGTTTCTAAGAGTTGGTATTTGCTTAGTGCCTGTAGTCACCTGTCTGAGGGAGTCTAGGTATAGTCTGGGGATGTGTCTGAGTGTTTGTGATCCTGCACTTGTGTGTGTGGGGAGGTCGATGTGTGTCTGAATGTCTCAGTGTGTGTATGACATGGTCCAGGTATGTGTATCAGTCACCGAGTGTGCAGGGAAGAGGTGTGAGGGCATCTACTCCTGAGTGTGAATAGGCCTGTGTTATTGCAGACACTTCTGCTGGGCATGCGAGGCAGACCCACCCACGCACTCAGTCCTGCTCCTGTCTTAGCTGCTCACTCACCTGACTCCGTCCTGGAGGTTTCAGGGGGCCCCGGGGCCCCACAGGGGGCTGGGGGCAGATGCTGCTCAGGCCTTCTGGGTCTGCCCTGCCCAAGGGACAGAGGAAAAGGTGAGCGGCTGGCTTGGGATGGGCACACTCCCCTCCTTTACCCCCTTTTTGGGCATCAGCCATCCCCCCTCCATCTCAGGCTCCTGCTGATAGCCTGGTTGTCATAGCAACTGTTACAAGGGAAATGAGCCACCTGGTTATGTTTTGGGGGCATTTCTTAGGGGATATTCTGGGCTCAGGAGGCTCTTAGTACCCACAGGGATGGTGTGAGGAGGGGAGCAGCCTTGTCCTCTAGACATGTGTTCAGGGATACGCAATCACGTGTATGATGCAACTCATGCCTACAGATGTCCCTAGCACCGGCTTACAACTCTGCACATTTAGATATACACAGACACAACCCAAACTGTACAGACCAGGTCATACAGACTTACCTAAACAGTCACAGCCACCACAAACATCTTGTCACATAGCCATGTACACAGATATACACAGTCTCCACTACAGACATATGTCTACATGCATAGAGAGAGTCCCAGCCTGCCTAGGCACTGGTTATGCCAGATACTGATATTTGGTCACTTCTACTTTTTCAGCCACATATGAAGAGCGGAGCCCAGGCATAGCCACCAGAGTGGCATACGTCAGCCACACCCAGTGACAGTTATGTTCCCTCAGGCAGCCACCCAAGATACTCACATCACAGACCCACTCACACAGAATCACACCCAGTCACACAGATGAAATCACAGTCATAAACACTGATCACATCCAGCTCCACTGCTATGTGTTGACATCTGGTCACAGCATCACAGAGAAACACATAGTCTCTCTTCATGCAAACACACAAGTCACATAAACATACACACAGCCACACCCGGTCACAGCCACATGTGTTTAATCATCTACAGGCACACAGCTGCACATGGACATTCAACCCCTGGTATTAGTCACACCGGTACACCTTTTTGATCACACATTGTCACACAATGACACATACCCAGTCATAGGGGCTCACATTTACTCACAGTATCAACTAACTTATATGGACAGTCCTCCATCTCCAATCAGACAGAGACACTGATGGCCATGGCCCGTGAATTATAAAGAAACAGGATGGCACACTCAGGACATGCCTACCACCACTCAGAGACAACTGTCCCCAAGGATGGCCACACTCAGACACAGCGAGCCAGCAGGTGTCCAGAGTCACAGCCATACACATTTCAGAACTGGTCACGTATGCAAAGTCACACAACATCAGTGTCCATATTACCCAGCCATATCACAGTCATATTTCATCACCCAATATCCCATACCCAACTGTACCACATCATAGCATCACAGAGAAACACGGACACACAGATACACGGCCATATACAATCACAGCCCCATTTAGGCAGACACATATCTCACACATAGAGATATCAGCACACAATTTCCACTTTACACTACATGCACACAGTCAGGTGCATGCTCAGAAATGCAGTGACCCAGGCATAGCATTTACAGCTGCGTTTATGCAGAAGACACAGCTCCTGACAGTCATGCTGTCACCAAATCACACTCAAACACAAGCAGTCCAGCATACACACAGACACACACACACACACCAAATAGTCACAAAGACACAGACATACTCTCACAGCCCATGACACAGACACAAGTACATATAGTGACCCAGGGTCACAAACATGCAGGTCACACAAATATAGAAGCCCAGTCACCTACACTCCCTCCAACACACACAGTAGCCTGGTGCCATCAGACAGACACATCTATATCTTGAGTCAGATACAGTGAAATAACCCACTATTAATGGTCAGCCAGAGTTTCAGACCCCAAGTCAAGTATATAACTCAAACCACACATTCACAGCTATATCTACACACAATTACTCAGTATCAACACACAGCTAGATACAGTCATTTATATAACCCTGGTCACATACACAGACCAGTCATACAAACATACCAGTCACAGTGCCATCACACAAACCCGGTCACATGGACACAACGTGACTGACTTCATATACAATGGCAGTCACATTGTGTGCCACAGACCTATGTGTGACACAAATATAAAACCAGACACAACCACAACCGTTCACAGTCATTGGAAGAGTGGCACATGGACAGTCATAGACACAACTCCATTTACACACAATCGCAACTCCACCCACATCTTCAGTCAATCACACACAAGTCCAACCCCAGACTCAACATATGCACTTTCACATACCTGGTTACAGTTACCAAGGCACACAAACACGGGGTCACTAAAGATGGAACCACAGACACAACCCACGGTCACAACCATGCACACATGCAAACATAGGCCAAAAAGTACAGGGTTCTTTTAGAGCAGCTGTCATACACATAGCCACACAAATGCTGGGGTCACTCACAGACACAACCACAGGCACAAAACACAGACACACAGGATTCTTCGTAGTCACCAGCACAGATTCACATAACCAGTCACGTAAACAGGGGGTCACAGGGCACCCCCCCACCGCTTGCTTCCCCCTCCCCCCAGGTACCACACACAAAGCCGCCATCACCTCAGACACTGCAGACTGACAAGACTACAGCCAGTCTCTGGAAAGCCGCCCCCACCGCTTCCAGCACGAATACTGGAGCCTGGGGGACCAGCGCATTATCCGAGGGTGGGGCCACTCCCAGGCAGCTGGGCAGCCACAGGGACAAAGGGGGTGGCCCCGAGGACCCAGCCCTGGGACCCTTGACCAAGCAGAAAGGGGAAAGGGGATGTGCCTGAAATTTCCCTCATTTTATTCGGCTGGGGAAGAGGTGGAGTCCCAGGCCCTGGGACCTTGTTTTGAGAAGGGCTGTTCCTGGGACGCTGCCCGAGGATTGGGGGAGGGGGCAAGGGATGCTGAGCCCAGGACGCCTCTGAGGGGCAGATCTTGCCTGGAATCCCCCCAGGTCTTGGGTTGATGGGGAATCGGTGCCCAGGGACCCCACCAAGCCCTTGCCTAGAGGGTTGTTGTGCTCAGAGATCCCCTCAGGCAGGGAGGAGTCGGGATGGCGTCTGGTCTGGAATCGCCTCCAGGGGGCCTTGGCTTCATCTGGGGTCTGTATCCCGGACCTATCCCCAAACCGTGCCTAGGGAGTTGTACCGAGAATCTGTCGTCCTGTCCTTGATTTTTTCTGAGGTGGAGTTCTGTGTCCGGGACCCCTACCTTTAGGGCCTTGGAAAAGGAGGGCCTGTGTCGAGACCCCCGTCTCCCAAGCTTTAACTGGGAGGGGGCCTGTTCATGGACCCCCACCCAGGACCACTCTCCAGCCTCGGCACCCTCTCTCCACCGGGTGCATCCCACCCTCCGCCACATCAGCAGCGGCGCCGCCCCCCACCCGCCCGCCCTTCTCACGCTGGCCGCCGCGCTGCGGGACATCCAGGGCCCGGGCGCCCCCGCCTCCCGCGGCCCGGCTGGGCCCAGATCCCCGAGTGCTGCTGCTGCTGCTGCTGCGGCGGCGGCGGCGGCGGCGGCGGTGCTGACGGGCGCTGGCCCGGGATGCAGCCCCGCGGAGGGTGCAGGATGCACAGTCTCCAGCCCACTCCGCTCCCGTTGGTTTCCGATCCGGGGGCGGAGGGAGCGCCCCTCCCGCCTCCCCTCCCCGCCCGGCCCCGCCCACTGGCCCGCCGCCGGCTGGATACACAGAGACCCCGCCCCGCCCTGCGCCGCCGCTGGCCCCGCCCCCTGGTCACCAGGCCCCGCCCACACGCAGAGTACAGCCCCGCCTTCTCCGGTGCGGCCCCGCTCCGCCACGCCCACTAACCAGCCCCCGATGGGCTGTGCACAGGAGCCTCGACCTTCCCTGCAGGTCCTTCCAGGCCGGCACTCCCTTCCCCTCCTCGACCACTGACCTCAGCTCTCCTCCAGTTCTGCGTCCGAAAGAGTTGCTTCGAAAAACGTCTCCCCGCCCCACATCCTCAAATCCTCCAGCTAACCCCACGGTTTTCCCAGCCCAATGGGGGCGGGAAGAAGCGGTGACGAGGCACTTTTTACCAGAAATGGGAGGGGAAATGAGCAGACCCCTGCGTCCTAGTGCGGGTCCGTTTTGCAAAGGCTGTGGGGGCGCCGGCTGGGACTAGGGCGTGGCTCTGGCCGCCGCTGCGACCTCCGCTCCCTCCGGATCCTGTGGGTTTGGCAAAGCAGCTGGCAGGGGCATAAAGGCCCATTAGCAAAGGCGAGGTTGGGGCGTCGGAGTGGTGGTGTGGGAGAAAGCCTCCTCAGCTGCCACAGTCTTGTGAGCAGGTGGTCAGCACGTGCGGGAGGGGTTGGGGGTGGGAGAGACGGGGAGGAGGATCCTAGCAACAGATGGCCCGGGCAGAACTGGGGCTTTCAGACAAGAGGGTGGGAGGGGGCTGGCCATCTGTACCTGGAGGCCGTTCTCGTCCTAGACTCCTTCCCCTCCGCCCCAGGACAGAGAAAAGAGCTGGGGAAGATTGGGGGGGGGGGGGGTTGCTTTTATTCAGACTGAAGGTTCAAACACCCCCAACCCCTCCCTAAAACAGAAAGGATGGACAGGGAGAAAGCAGCTGGTGAAGGGGTGAGAAAGGCTGCCTCCACCAACCATCACCCCTACCCTCTCATTGGCCTGATCTGGGGGAGACCTGAAGCATAGACGACGGGCTCCCCTCTAAAGGAGTCTGCATCTCCACTGTGGCATGCAGAGAACCTGACGCTCTCTCAGATGTTATCAGAAATAAATAAATCCCTGGAGTAGAGTTCCCGGATGCCCACTGCGGGGTGGGAAGAGCAGGATCTGGGAGTGTGAAATGGGGAGTTACCTAGCCGCAGGGTTCCCCAGGCTAGAGCAGAGTGGGAAGGATGCATTGGGGGAGGATGGCCCTCTACTGGCTGAATTCCCCAAAAGGAAGCTGTCTGAATGGTCTGACCAGACCTCCGCTCTGGTCAGGAGGCTTCAGGCAGTGGCTGAGACTGGCGACTGGCCCAGTAGCGGTGATAGGTGTCCTGGAAGAGGTCCTGGCATTTGATGCAGGCTCCGAGGCGGGCACAGGCCAGGAAAGCTCCTGCCAGCTTACGGTGCAGGGAATAGGTCTCCTCAGGCGGTGGGCGAAGCCGGTGCTGCAGCAGCACTGGCATGAGGCCCTGCACTCGGCGGGCAGTGTCCCCTGCCCCAAAGTCATATGGACCCTGGGTGGCAAAGGGCTCTCCAAGGATCATCACAGCCTCCACGTGGGCATCAGAGAATGCCTGGGGGGGGGGGGGAGAGAACAAAGGCACAGCCCTTCTCTTAACCAAGAACCAACAAGCAGACGTCACTCTATAGTACAGAGGAGCAGCCTCCATTCCCCCGCTCCCTCCCTCTATAATAGGTATGTGGTGCCCATTTCCCCAGGCCAAGTAGTCCCCATTCTCCCCTAGTCCTCCCCAAAGTCCCCCAGTGTAGACCAGCAGTTCCCTGACCCCCAGAGAGTTAAGCTGCCCCCAGGCCCCCAATAGACACCAGCCCCTACTCCTCTAGTGTCTCCCAACCTTGGTTTCAAAGCCTGTGAGGAGCTTGAGGTCCTGCGATTTCTGTAGGACCCGGTCTCTGTCTCCATTGGCTGCAGCCATCACTACCTAGGAGACAGGTGTGGAACACAGGGTCAAGGCCAAGCAGGGTTCAAGGAGGGGGCTGGCAGACTAGAGACAGGAGGTGGCAGGCAGTTCCCTTCTCATCTGCCTAGGCTTCTTCCGCCTCACCTTGCCCAGATGTGTCTCAAACTGTTCCAGAGCCTGGGGGGTCAGGATGGCCAGGGGTTCTGCCCACCTGGCTGGGAAAACACAGGCTGCTGGAAACTGAACAGTGTAACAGCCAGAGGAGGATAAATGTCAAGTGCTGCTCCTGGGTCCAAACATTCATGTGGCCAACGATGTGACCGAGACCCAAAACAGCACTGGAGCCCTAACCTGTTTGGCTCAGTGGATAGAGTGTTGACCTGCGGACTGAAAGGTTCCAGGTTCGATTACGGTCAAGGGCATGTGCCTTGGTTGCGGATACATCCCCAGTGGGGTGTGCAGGAGGCAGCTGAATCGAAGTTTCTCTCTCATCTATGTTTCTAACTCTCTATTCTTCTCCCTCTCCCTTCCTCTCTGTAAAAAAATCAATAAAATATATATTTTTTAAAATGGCACTGGAGGTTGCCACTGGGCCATCTCTGGCCACCTGACTGATGTCTGTGTCCTGCACCGGAATGGAGCCCTAAGAGAGCGAGCAGGGATCCCAGATGCGTTCAGTCTCATGGAGTGCGAGCTCCGGCTCCCAAGAGGCCTTTGTGAACCTTTGTTTGGCACATTAGTGTGTGGAGCTAAGCACCCCTCCAGCCAGGAGTGCACGTGGCAGTGGGACTTGAGGCATGTGGGCAGACAGAGGCGAAAGCCAGCCTGCCTGGGCTCAGTCCCAGCTCTGCCACTTGCTGGCTGACTCTGGGCAAGTTGCTTTGCCTCAGGCCTCTACTTTCTTTCTTTTTTCTTCTTTTTTTTTAAAATATATTTTATTGATTTTTCACAGAGAGGAAGGAAGAGGGATAGAGAGCTAGAAACATCAATGAGAGAGAAACATCGATCAGCTGCCTCCTGCACACCCCCCACCTGGGGTGTGCCCACAACCAATGTACATGCCCTTGACTGGAATCGAACCCAAAACCTTTCAGTCTGCAGGCCGACGCTCTATCCACTGAGCCAAACCGGTTTTGGCAAAGCCTCTACTTTCTTATCTGTGAAGTGGGGATGATGAAAATAGCTTCCATATGAAGTTGTGAGGATAGAGAAGCCAACAGCTGTGCAGTGCTGAGCACTACAACAACATGTAGGAAGCACCATCTAATATAATAATAGAGTAATATGCAAATTAACCAAATTAACATCACTCCGCTACACAAGCCATGCCCACCATCCAATCAGAGCGAGTATGCAAATCAGCACAACAAAGATGTCAACAATTTGCATATGTGGAGGGAGGAAGGAAGGAGTGAGGACTGAAGCCAGCATAGAAGGAAGAGGGAGGGAAAGTAGAAAGCAAAGCGGCTGCAGCTGCTGAAGGGAAAACACTGGCAGCACGTGCGGGGCGAGGTGCGCAGCAGTGGTGGCAGCGGTGGCCCGCCCTCCCTGCCCGCCCCGCCCTGCCTGCTGCGGTGGGAAAGGTGGGGGGATAGGAGAGGTGGGGGAGGTGGAGGGGAGCCCGCCAGAAGTCTTGCAGGAATATTCCTGCAACAGGTGCCTAGTCTGTAACAATAGAGGAATATGCAAATTAGCCTGGATGCTGTAGCATCACAACTGAAAAGCAGGGACTCGAGGCTGCATGGCACCTGGCTGTGGCAAGGACCTCAGGCCGTGCCCCCACCCTGGCACTGGGCCTGAAGACCTCAGGTCACACGCCTCAGCCCATGGGGCTTGACAGGGACCTCAGGCCACACCGTCACCCCGCAGGGCTTGATGGGGGACCTCAGGCCATACCCTCCTCACCCTAGTGTGGGGAGGGGAACCTCAGGCCATGCCCCCCGCCTGGTGGGGCTTGACAGGGGACCTCAGGCCTCACCCCCATGCCTGGTGCTGGGCTGGGAGACCTGAGGCAGGCCGCCCCCTGCCAGGAGTGGCTTGATGAGGGTGGGGCGGGCTAGGTCTGGGTCTCATTTTCGAATTGAGTGAGGGTGATGGGCAGGGACTTGACTCTAGGTCCTTTGGTGCATTCCAGACTCTGACAGGAGGGAGATTTTCATATACATTTTACTAATTTTCTTTTATCTCTGATACTTCTATTATAAAAGGCAAATAGCAATATTAAAATATTTCCTCTAAGTAATTCCCTTTTATTTTGCCCCTTTTTTGTTTTTTTTGTTTTGTTTTGTTTTGTTTTAGTAATTCCCTTTTAATGTGCACGAATTTTGTGCACTGGGCCACTAGTAAATACTATAAACTATTATTACTACTAAGAGATGGCCATGAGGATCCCAACTTCATAAAAGAGAAAACAGGCTCACAGTGGGCAGTAGGAAGGTGAGGAATGGAACCTGGGCATTCCTTTAACCAGTGAGTTTCTTGGGAAGGGGAATACAGGGCTAAATCTGGCAGTTCCATTCTGTCTTGGCTTCCTTGCCCATGCCTGTCTAGCCATCTGTCAGACCTATGGTCCTTGGGGGCCGGTGTGACAGCGTTTTTTAAAACTGGAAAAGGCTGGGGTGGTGGCAAGAAGGCCATACTAAAAAGTCTGGGGGCGGGGTAATGAGATGTCCCAGAGAGGCCGCCCTGTGGTGCCTCAAGTGGCCTGCAGAGAGGGCCCAGCCCAAAGGGCCTATATGTGTGGTAGCCAGGGGTGGGTTACCAGCTGCTCCTTCCTGTTCCATCTCAAGAGTGGCCCTTCTATGCCAGTACCCAAGCCAGAGCTCTGGGCCTTGTCCCAGACACTATTCTTCCCTTCCCCACAGACTCCTTGGGCTCCCAGTCTCTAGTCTTAAAGAACCCTCGTGACCTGACCCCTCAATTGGTTGGAGCATTGTCTCCTATACCAAAAGGTGGCAGGTTCCATTCCTGGTCAGGACACATACTCAGGTTACAGGTTCCATCTGTGTCCGTGCATATATAGGAGGTAACTGATCAATGTTTCTCTCTCTCACACACTCTTACTTTCTCTAAAGTCAGGTAAGAAAAATAAAGACCACTCATTATTCAGAGGGAGTTTCCTAATTGTGGCTGCACCCCTCTCCTGCTCAAGTCCTTCCCACAGCTCCCCAGGGTACCCATATACAGTAAAAGCTATAGCCCAGTTAGCATGGCTCAATAGTTGAACATCAACCTATGAACCAGGAGATCATGGTTCGAGTCCCAATCAGGGCACATGCCCAGGTTGTGGGCTCAATCCCCAGTGTGGGACTTGGAGGAGGCAGCCAATCAACGATTCTCTCTCATCATTGATATTTCTCTCTCTCCCTCTCCCTACCTCTCTGAAATCATAAAATATATTAAATAAATAAATAAAGTACAAACTACAAATCATGGCTTCTGAGACCCAGAATGATTTGGCTCCAATCTCATCCCTGGCTCCTGTTCTGCCCCTTACCTTCCCACCCAGGTAGAACATGAACTTCCTCTTGGTCCCTAGGCCTTACTTCTCAAAGTGTGGCTCCTGTGCGAGAAGCTTTGGCATCACCAAGCAGCGTGTTAGAAATGCAGCATCTTATGTCTAACTCCAGGCCAGAATCTGCATTTTCACAAGGTCATGGGGTAGGGGGTTCACACACACTCTAAAGTCTGAGAAGCGCTGCTTTAATGGGAATATCTCTTCTCGCCTCTTAGCCTTTGTACATGTCCATCTGGAATACCCTCCTAGCCTCTTCCTGATTGGTCTCCTCATCTCTCAGGTCTCAACTCTGATGTCTCCTTTAGGAAGCCTTCCCTGATTCCAGAGGCCTCCTCTGAGCCAGGCTCCTCTGAGCTCCCACAATGCCCTGTGCTTCCCCTTCCCAACCGCGACCACTCTGGGTCCTCACTATCTGTCCTCCCACTGGACTGTAAACTCCTTGAAAGTGGGGTCCTGGATTGGTCACTATTGTCCCCAATATTACCCAGCATAGGGTTGGGCACAGATATGTTATCAAAGAATGTTTAAATCCATGACTAAATGATTAGAAAACCCAGGTTGACTGTCTAATCTCACCAATCAATGAATGAGATAGTGTTCTCTATGGCCTCTAAGACAAATTACCCAGTTAACTGACGTGGGTCCAAAATGGAAACAATCCCCACATGCCACGGTATTTTGAATTTAATTGCATCTATAGACGCTTATGGTATACAAAGGGTTAACCCCAGTTGGTGGTAGGGACAGGCAACAGGTGAGGACAGAACAGCTCCCCAGGGAGCAGCCGCCAGGAAGTTATGTGAGGGCAAGGCCGGACACCAAGATCCTGGACAGTGTGGGGTGTGGGACAGTGACATGGGCCTTTCTCCTAAGACCATGGTTGGCAAACTGTGGCTCTTGAGCCACATGGGGTTCTTTGGCCCCTTGAATGTGGCTCTTCCACAAAATACCACAGCCTGAGAGAGTCATTTGAAGAAGTTAGAAAAAGTTTTAAAAATTTGGCTCTCAAAAGAAATTTCAGCAGAAACCGGTTTGGCTCAGTGAATAGAGTGTCGGCCTGTGGACTTAAGGGTCCTGGGTTCGATTCTGGTCAGGGGTATGTACCTTGGTTGCGGGCACATCCCCAGTAGGGGATGTGCAGGAGGTGGCTGATCAATGTTTCTCTCTCATTGATGTCTCTAACTCTCTATCCCTCTCCCTTCCTCTCTGTAAAAAATCAATAAAATACATATTTTTAAAAAGACATTTTAATCATTGTACTGTTGATATTTGGCTCTGTTGACCAATGAGTTTGACGACCACTGTTAAGAGAAGGCTAATCAGTGTGGAGAGCATAAGCTGTGGACCCAGTCATCCTGAGTTTGAATCCCAGGACTGCTGTGACCTTGGGCAAGTGACTTAATCTCTCTGAGTCCCAGTTACTTCATCAATAAAACAAAGCTAAGAATGTCCTTACCCCATGCAGTTGCTGTATGATTTAAATCAATTACCAAATGTATAACACTTAAAATCACACCTGACTTAATATTATTTTTAATTTATTTATAGTTTCAGAGAGAGAGAGGGAGATAGAATTATCAATGATGAGAATCGATTGGCTCCCTCCTGCATGCCCCCTACTGGGGATTGAGCCTGTATCCTGGGTATGTGCCCTCCATGTTCATGGGTCAACACTCAACCACTGAACCACACCAGCCAAGCTATTTTTTATTTCTTAATTCAAGATACTATATTTTTCCTTCTCACCCTTGCCTCAGTAAATGGCCCTTCAGATCCCAAGGTTGGGGGCACTCACCTCAATGTAATTGTCTGTGAATTCAGTCCCAAATTCCCGGCTTGCACCAAAGTCCAGCAGGGTCACCTGAGAACAGGGATGGTGAAAAGGAGGCTGGGAGTCCAGCAATGCTCCCTATTGTCTATTTGGGGTGGCCAGGGTCATCCTTCCTACTCTGGGGTCTCCTCCTGCCAGAGTCCCCACCCACTGTGTCCCCAGGCTCCTAATCTCCTGTCTCCACAATTCCAATCCACCCCCACACAAAGCTGAAGGCACTCGGCTTTTTTTTTTTCTCCTAATGGGTTTCTTTTTAAAATATATTTTTATTGATTTCATAGAGAGGAAGGGAGAGAGAGAGATTGAAACATCAATGATGAAAGAAAATCATTGATTGGCTGCCTCCTGCACAGCTCGCAACCTGTGCATGTGCCCTTGACCGGAATTGAACCCGGGACCTTCAGTCCACAGGCCAATGCTCTATCCATTGAGCCAAACCAGTTAGTGCCCTAATGATTTTAATAATAACATGTTTTTAGCACAGAAAGAAAATACAGGGAATAAAATATATGGAAGAGTGAACACAAGTCTCACCATGCTTAAAATATAATATAAAATAGCTGTGATCGGTTTGGCTCAGTGGATAGAGTGTCGGCTTGCAGACCAAAGGGTCCCAGGTTCGATTTCGGTCAATGGCATTCACCTTGGCTGCAGGCACATCCCCAGTAGGAGGTGTACAGGAGGCAGCTTATCGATGTTTCTCTTTCATCGATGTTTTTAACTATCTATCCCTCTCCCTCTCTGTAAAAAAATCAATAAAATATATTAAAATATATTTTAAATAGTATCAATCCAGGTGGGGTCTCCCATCTAACCTAGACTGTCCTACCAGACCCACATCCCCACCTTCTTTTCTAGGGTCACCACATCTTTCAGGGGATGTCTTATCTTTCAGGTATTTCCTGAAATTACCATGTGTGTATTTCTACATTTTCTCCTCCCCCATAAACGATAGTCATGTTTTGTGTATTTAAAGTTCACATAAGTAGTATTTATGATAGTGATCCTGTAACTTGTTTCTTGTGCCCAACATGATTTTTTTATTTATCCCTACTGCTATGTGCAGCTCTAACTCATTCATTCATTTCTCACTGCTGTGAAAGGACTTCATTGTGTGGATTTATCAGAGCATTTATCTGGTTGATGGACAATGTGGGTGTTTGAATTTTGCTATTAAAAACAGTGCTCGATGAACACATGTGTAGGAGTTTATCTAGGCAGTAGAGTTGGGATTATTGATTACAACCCATAGTAAGAAATGCAGAATATACTGGGTACCAGTGCCAATGCCAAATAAATATAAACACAAACAAAAGGGTCCTAAAATATAGCTCCCTCCCATGTGTGACACAGTGATATTTTCTATTCTATGTCTTTAAAACAAACCCAAAAAATGTAGTTGAAACCCAATAAATTGACATCAGGATGCAGGACATGTATTACCTACCAGGTCAGAAAACCCCTCCTTGAGGTACCAGCCTAGGAGGGGTGCAGAGTGTACTTGGGGGTAAGGCAGTGGCAAAGGACTGAAGCTGGAGACTCAAGGGGGCCACTTTGCATTTGGCAAAGGACCTAGACTTAATCCTGAGGGCACTGGGGGACCCTGGAAGGGACAGTGTGGCCAGATTCGTGTTTGAGAAAGATCGCTCTTGGGACAAATGGGGACCGACCACATTGGAAAGCCACTTGGCAATCACGCATGCTGAGAGCCTTTCCATCCAACCTCTCATCCCAGGCCTTTGGACACACTGTGCTCTGCTAGGAATGCTTTTCCTTGCCCTTTAGATGACCGTCCTCTTCTCATCTTTCTGGTTTCTTTAACGACACTTTCTTCAAAAAGACTTCCTTGCCCATCTTGTGTGGCTCAGTGGTTGAGCACTGACCTATGAACCAAGAGGTCATGGTTCGATTCCCAGTCAGGGCACACACACAGCCAGGGTGCGGGCTCAATACAGGAGGCAGCGTATCAGTGATTCTCTCTCATCATTGATGTTTCTCTCTCTCTCTCCCTCTCCCTTCCTCTCTAAATTCAGTAAAAATAATTTAAAAATTATTTTTACTGAATTTAGAGAGGAAGGGAGAGGGAGAGAGAGAAACACCCTGTTTCCCCGAAAATAAGACAGTGTCTTAATTTTTTCTCCCAAAGTTGCACTAGGTCTTATTTTCAGGGGATGTCTTATCTTTCCATGCGCTAGGTCTTATTTTCGGAGAATGTCTTATTTTCAGGGAAACACGGTAATATTTCCTTGACTCTACATACCCGGACAGATCAGCCACTTTCCCTGGCTTCCCACCACCCGCTGTACCTCCCCCACCACTGACAACCCTGGCTGTGTTCCTCCATCCTGGTACTAAGTACTCTAGGTCACCGCTGGTGACAGGTCCCGCCACTGGGCCAGGAACTCTGAGAAGGTGAGGATCAGGATTGTCTTGGCATTGTTGTCAAGAGGCAGCAGATGCTTGGTGTGTTCCAAATGAGTGAGAAGTGCAGTAAAGATGACTAACTGCTTTCTGTAAGTTCCCTCTTTTATATTGTCACATTGCCTTTAGGAAGCCACTGCCTAGCCAGTGACTGTTTTTCCCAGCATCCTTTGCACCTAGACAGGTTGTGTGAACAGCTATCAACAGAATTGTAAAAGGAATGATGTGTCACTTTTGCTCAGAGCAGTTAGGAGAGGATTATACTCTCAATCTCTTTCCTTTCCTGGGATGGCACAATCACAAAGGGAAGGCACCTGGGTCTCCAAATCACCACCTGGAGAACTGCCCCAGCCTGTCACGTGGGTAATAAACTACTATTGTGATAAGCTACTGAAATATTGGAAAATATTTCCACAGCAGTTAATGTACCCTGTCACACATCACAGGAAACCAACCTGGTGGCTGGAGGCATCATATAGGAAGTTGGCCCAGTTGGGGTCCGTTTGCATGAATCGGAACTCAAACAGCTCCCGCAGACACAGCCTCAGGAGCTGGAAGCAGATCTGGGGTGGAGAGAAGGAGTAACAGACACCTCAGAGTCGGCTGCCCCTGTCAAGCCCTGGAGAGGGATATGGGTCTGGCCAGCCCTGCAGGCCCTGCCCTGTGGCAGCACCCTCCCTGCTGTCCTACCAGATCATGTACCTGGTTTCGGATGTCCTGGCTCAGGCTCTGGCACTGGTCCAGGGGGACCCCTTCAGCCAGCTCCATGCCCAGCACCCGTGTAGTGCAGAGGTCCGTAATCACTGCCGGCACTTGGAAGAACGGGTCATCTGCCAACAGCTGCCTGGGGTGGAAGGGAGGGGTGGGTATGGGACTTGGCTTCAGGCCCCTGTGGCCCAGCTCGAGGACCCCTCCTTTGAGAAGTCCTCCATGCACAATCTGTCTCGCCTTCCCTCCTGCTCTCCTCTTGCCTCTGTGCCCTGAGTGATGGCCAACACCTGGCTGGACTGACATTCATTCAGACATTTTATTCATTAATTCATTCAACAAACATCTCCGTAGGGCCTACTCTGTGCCTGCCCCTAAGCTGGCTGCTACAGACCCAGTTACCACTTCCCTACCAGCAATACTTCCGTGATATGCAGTTGCCTCATGATGAGTTTAATGTGTTAAGCTCCATAAACATTGTTTTTTTCATCAACTTATTAATTCATCAAAAAAAAACAGCACACAAGCCGAAACCGGTTTGGCTCAGTGGATAGAGCGTTGACCTGGGGACTGAAAGGTCCCCTGTTCAATTCCAGTCAAGGGCATGTACATTGGTTGCGGGGACATCCCCATTGGGGGTGTGCAGGAGGCAGCTGGTCAATGTATCTCTCTCATTGACATTTCTAGCTCTCTATCCCTCTTCCTTCCTCTCTGTGGAATATCAATAAAATATATATATTTTTAAATAGCACACAAAAAACAAAAACAACGAGTTACTGATATACAAATCTTTGATTCTACGGTGATACTCATTGCTACTCCTTGAAGTCATTACTGGGAACACTGGTTAATTAAGGGAAAGAGTCCTCAGTGTCTGTCCCTGTGCTGGGCCATGCTGGGGACAGAGCAGTGGATGAACTACAGGCCTGCCCCTGATATACACCAGAGACCACACTCGAACAAACAAATAGACCTGTAGATTGAGATAAGGGTCAATAAAAAAAAAAAAAAAACACAAAAAAAACCCATAATAAATAAATAAATGAGATAAGGGTCAATGAGTGAGGCCTCTGGTTGGGGACCTGTGGGATGGCTGGAGTAGAGTAAGTTGGGGAGCAGGGAGATGAGTAGGGGCCAGAGGAAATGATGTAGGTTTTATTGTAAGGGCACTAAGAAATCCTGTGGGAGAGGGCTCTCCCCAGATCCCACAAGGAGCACTCTGGCCCAGTCTGAGCATTTAATCAGCACAGTTCCCTTTTCATTTTCCTGTGAGGATACTCTCCCAAGGCCACTGTGCAGAGTCAGGGCGCCAGCCTAAGGGCTGACCTGGGGCTGGATCCCACATGGGTCTTTCCAGGCCCGTGCCCCTAACCACTGCCTTCCACTGCCTTTTCTCTCACTTTGTATTTATAGAGCTTGGCTCAATAAATGTGTGGGCTTTAGGCAGCAGCTTTAGGGCCAAGCCTTGGCTGACCTGTGACAGGGCCAGCCTGGAGGGCAGAGCTCTCCTAGCATAAGTAAGCCTGACCTGTAGCCCTCCCTAATTCCTTCCTACGTAGCTAGTGGGCTGTGGGAGCTGCAGCAAGTGTTGCCGAAACAAAACATGTGTATACATGTTAATCTACCCTTGTTTTAATTAGACTATAAAATAAAGGCTGGGTCTTTTGTGTCCTCATCCAGGCACGGGGAGATCCACGGAGCCCCAGCTGTATTCTCTTGTCTGTCTTTTCCTCAGTTCTTCACCGCTCCTCCTCAGGTTCACCCTTGGCCGTGCTGGTGTGGCACATGGGCTAACTTATGAAGGATCTCACTAAGGTATTTGCTGCATCACAACGCTTCTAAGAGACAACCACACTGTTCCCAGTAGCTGTGATTCATTGGTTTTCACTGCTGTATGATATTCCACTGATGAGTATCACATAATTTATTTATCCACCCCACTGGATGAATTTCAAAGGATTGGGTTGTTTCCAATGTGGAGCTATTACTACTCTGAGCTTTCTATAAAAGTCTGATGGTGTATACTGGCATTAGTGACCCTAGAGCAATTAGCCAGGAGGGCAACTATTGGGATGTATGTGAATATCCAGCCTGATGCCAAACTGGTCTCCAGAAGGCTTATCTCAAACCTCCTCCTGCCCTGGCAGAGAAGAAACGCCATGGAGCCCTGTCCTCTCCAGCTCCTGACACTGTCAGATTGCTGTAGCTTTGTCAGTGCAGCAGGTGTGACCAAGTATCTACTGACAAGATCATCTCCCTCACAGGACTGAAGAGGTTACCCAGCCCGTTCCACAGATGAGAAAACTGATACTTAGAGAGAGGAAGCAACAGGCCCAAGCTGAGAACACAGCGGATAAGTGAAGTAATGAGTGAAAGGGTGAATGGATGAACAAACGAATGAAGAGAAAGAGTTTGCCAGCTTCGTTTCAGGGCTCCACTTCCACTCAGCCTGGGAGGGAGGGAAGGAGGGGAGCTGGAAGGAAGAGGTCCTGAGGGGGCCTGCCAGCCACCCGAAGGCTTGTGCTCACCTGAAGTTCTGGGCACAAGCTGCTTCCCGGCGGTAGTCACACTCCCAAGCCAGCTCCCGCTGCAAGGCCTGCAGGCTCTGCTCCGCAAACAGGCCTGAGGGGCGCAGCTGAGTCAGCCAAGGAAGGTCACAGGCTGTCCACCCACCGCCCAGCCCCTCAGCTCCACTCATGAATGTCTCCTCTTGCCAATCCTGTCTCTCACTTGTCCCTCAGGCCTTCTGCTCCAAGTCTTTTACCCCAGGGTCTGTCCACACACCTCCCCTCAGTCCTCATATAACTGCGGGCTCTTCTGAAGTCTCTCTCCTGGGGTCTCTTTCACAGGCATGCACACCAGTCCTGAGGCATCTTTGTCATAGTCACACATGCCACCTATTCCACCTTTTTTGAACTCTCTGGATCTTACTCTGCCTCGGCCTCTCTCTCTCCCTCTCCCCCTCTTTCTCTCCCCCCCCTCTCTCCCTCCCTCCCTCCCTCTCTCTCTCTCTCTCTCTCTCTCTCTCTCTCTCTCTCTCTCTCTCTCTCTCTCTTTCTCTCTCTATCACACACACACACACACACACACACACACTGATCCTCCTTCTTTAGGCTCTTTAACACAACATGAGGCCCCACTTACTCTCTTCCTGCTTCTGTGGCTCTTTTTCAGACTGACAGTCTCTCTGCGTACCTTCTGTGTGTGTGTGTTTCTGGATTTTGGTCTGGGCTTCTGACTCTCAGTGTCTCTGTCAGAATCTCTAAGTCTCCTTTTGTTACACGCTTGTACTCTACACTCTCTCTGCCGTGGCATCCCTTCTTTCTGTCTCAAACACACACTCACACACAGGCACACCCTGCCCAGCTGGTACTCTCTGGGCTCTCCCTCCATCAGCCCCACTTCCTCTCTTCAGGGTACCAGTCCTACATGGGCACCTCACCCTCAGGCAGAGCCACGCTCATCTTCAGCACTGCCAGCAGGTTCTGGACATCACTCTGGATGCTCTGGGCCACGCCTGGGTACTGTGAGGGGAGCGGGGAAGGGAGTCATTCTTCTGGGACAGCAGGGTGCCCACTGCCACCTGTCCATCCCCCCTCTCACCTGGATCTTCACGGCCACCTCTGTCCCATCCCTCAGCATTCCCTGGTGCACCTGCCCAATTGAGGCGGCAGCAAAGGGCACCTCCTCCAAAGAGGCCAACTTGGACTGCCAGTCCCTTCCGAGCTCCTCTTCGAGAACCCTCTAGGGAGAGCAGGGGTAACAGTCATCACCATGATTACAGGCAACTGAGTTCATTCCCCGTGTCAAGCACTTTACACGTTAATAACTCCAACTCTTACCACATGCTGGGGCCTGGGCTAAGCTCCTGGCTGCTACCCCACTTTACAAATGAGGAAACTGAGGCTAAGAGAGAAGTCCTCAGCCAAGGTGAACTAGGCACTGGCAGACAAGAAGGCCCAGCCCAGCTGGTACTAACTCAAAGTTAATGAAATATGTACCTTAATAAAAAAATGAGGAAAAAAGCCGAAACTGGTTTGGCTCAGCAGTAGAGCGTCGGTCTGCAGACTGAAAGGTCCCAGGTTCGATTCCGGTCAGGGGCATGTATGTTGGTTGCAGGCACATCCCCGGTAGGGGGTGTGCAAGAGGCAGCTGGTCGATATTTCTCTCTCATCGACATTTCTAGCTCTCTCTCTCTCTCCCTTCCTCTCTGTAAAAAATCAATAAAATATATATATATTTTTTAAAAAGTTCTTTAAAAAAATGAGGGGAAAAAAAAGTTAATGAGATAGATAAAGAATTAAAATGTAAGGGCTTCCTGCGGGCTGGGTGCTGTTCAGAGTGGCTCAGAAAACAGCAATAATCGCCCAGAGTCACATGGTGAGTGAGCAGAACAAAGATCAGAAGACAGGGGGCTGGATTCTGGATCCACACCCTTCCACAGTAATTGGAAGAACAGCTCCTGTCTTGGGCACTTAGTGCCAGGTGCTATGCCTACCGGTGGACAGACACACCCTCCTCTATTTAAAAAAAACACAAACAGTTAATAATAACAGCTAAAATTTGCATGTCACTCATGCAAACCCTTCTAAGTGCTTTCTTTCTTTCTTTCTTTTTAAAATATATTTTAATGATTTTTTACAGAGAGGAAGGGAGAGGGATAGAGAGTTTGAAACATCTATCAGCTGCCTCCTGCACACTCCCCACTGGGGATGTGCCCGAAACCAAGATACATGACCAGAATCGAACTCGGGACCTTTCAGTCCGCAGGCCAATGCTCCATCCACTAAGCCAAACCAGTTTCAGCCTAAGTGCTTTCTGTATACTAACTTATGTAACACTATGACGTGGGATGGCGATCACCATCGCCATTTCACAGATGAGGACACTAAAGCCCAGAGAGGTCAGGCCGCAGGTCTGAGATCACACAGGTAGGAAGTGGCAGAGCCAGGGTTTCAATTCAAGAAGCCTTACCCCTAACCACTGTGCTCACTGCCACTTAAACAGCTCACTGAGCCTGCCAGGGACTGGACTAAGTGCTCTGCACCACCCTTATTTAATCATCACTACTATCCTATGAGGAGTGTGCTCTGGTGATCCATTTTACAGGTGGGGAAACCGAGACCTAGAGTCTGACAGGGAGTAGAGCAGTAAAGCCAGGAGAGACAGGCAGGTGGAGCCCACCTCGCTGGTCAGCCTTCTCCCACTGGGCACTCACCAGCATCTGCCAGCGGGGCATGAAGTCGGCGCTCTGGCGGACCCGCTCGAAGATGTGCTGAAGCTGGGGGCTGATGAAACTGTTGTCTTGGGAGACAGGGAGACAAGAAACACGGGAAGCAGTGAGGGAGGAGGCGAGGGGGCCCCTGTGGGAGTACCTGAAGGCCGGGATTGTTGGTGAGGGGGTAGGGTAGAAGTGAGATCAGGGGTCAAGGGTCATGCTGTACCCTGGATGCTGAGCATTTGGCCAATCTTGAGGGCGGCCCCCCGAACTGTACACAAGGTCTGAACAATCCGTTCAGCATTGGCCTCCGACAAGAAAGGGCTGGAGCCAGGCTGGGAGCTGTCCTCTGCGGTAGAGAAAATAATTATTAGTATTACAACCACAAAAATAACCAGTATGACACCACTACACACCCACCAATATGGCTAAAATGAAAAAAACATCAAGTGTTGGCAATGATGTGGAGCAGCCTGACCGCCAACACTGCTGATGACTGACGACAGTTCCATGGTACAAGCCCACAGGAAAACAGTGGGGAAGTTTCTAGTCACGCACATGCCTGTACTGGATGCTGTTCTTTCATACGTATGCCGAAGAGAGATGCATCAATGTGTCCACTGACATATATTCCAAAAAGTGTCATCGCAGCAAAGCTCATAAAAGTCCCAAACTGGAAACATCCCAAATGACCCTCAATACAATGAACAAAGGAATTGTAGAACAGTCAATGAATGACTACTACAACCAGGAATAAACAATCTACATCCACTCACAGCAAAATGGATGCCTTTCCCAAACAATGCATGGATTCAAAGGACCAGATGCCTATGAGAATACACTCATTATATTGGTGTAAAGAGCAAAAAACTAGAAGTAAGTTTGGGGTTAGTAGCCAAAACAGTGGTTACCCTTGATGGGGAAGTGCCCAGGGTGGGGTATTGGAGGAGCTTCTGGAGAAGGTATTTTCAGGGGACCCCTGAGGATCCTCGAGATCCGTCAGAGGATCTGTGGGATCAAAAATGCTATCATAATAATATTAAAGTTATTTGCCGCTTTTTACTCTCATTCTCCCACAAATATTCTGTGAAATATTCCAGAAGCTCCATGACCCATGATGATACCACTGCTCTGATGGCTGAAAAATGTGTGTTCTTGTGTATTAAAATTTCTCAGTTTGGGCCTTTTCACGAAGATGGCGCCGAAAGCGAAGAAGGAAGCTGCTGCCCCTTCCAAAGCCGAAGCCAAAGCAAAGGCTTTGAAGGCAAAGAAAGCAGTGTTGAAAGGCGTCCACAGCCACACAAAAAAGAAGATCCGCATGTCACCCACCTTCCTATGGCCAAAGACACTAAGGCCCCGGAGGCAGCCTAAATATCCTCGGAAGAGCGCACCCAGGAGAAACAAGCTTGACCACTATGCCATCGTCAAGTTCCCCCTGACTACCGAGTCAGCCATGAAGAAGACAGAAGACAATAATACACTTGTGTTCATTGTGGATGTCAAGGCCAACAAGCACCAGATCAAACAGGCTGTGAAGAAGCTCTATGACATTGATGTGGCCAAGGTCAACACCCTGATCAGGCCTGATGGCGAGAAGAAGGCATATGTTCGACTGGCTCCTGACTATGATGCTTTGGATGTTGCCAACAAAATTGGAATCATCTCAACTTTGTCCAGCTGCCTAATTCTAAATATAAAAATTTTACACGGTAAAAAAAAAAAAAGTCTCAGTTTTGATCTCTAATACAGTGAGCCCTAGCCAGTGTGGTTCAGTTGGCAGAGCGTTGTCCCCTGCACTCAAAGGTCACTGGTTTAATTTCCAGTTGGGTAGTGAGTTTGGTCCCCAGTAGGGTGCATGTGGGAGGCAACCGATTGATGTTGATATTTCTCTCACATTGACGTTTCTCTCTCTCCCTTCCCCTTCCTCTCTCTTCCTCTCAAATCAATAAAAACATATTTTTTAAAAATCCCTAATGCAGTGAATATCCATAATTATAACCCACATAAACAAACTTTTTGGGGTCCTCATTCTATTTTTTATTGAATTTATTGAGGTGACATTGGTTAATAAAATTATATAGGTTTCAGGGATACAATTTTATAATACATCATCTGTATATTGTATTGTGTGTTCACCATTCCAAGTCAGTCCTCATTCTATTTTTAAACAGCTTTATTGAGAGATAATTCTCATACCATATAATTCTCCCATTTAAGGTATACAAGTCAATGGCTTTTAGAATCCTGAGAGTTGTCTTTTCAATAATAAGCACTTATAGTAGCATTCTGACTGAGAATAGTGTTAAAAATTTGTGTCACATAAGTGCTTGTGTCCCGGATGTTTCTACAGCTTATAATAGGATCATATTGACTTTTCAATAGAATATTGAAAGTTGTGGATGTCACTATAACCAATCCCAGAACATTTTCATCCCCCAAAAACCCCTTCCCGCCGAAGCCAGTTTGGCTCAGTGGTAGAGCATCGGTCTGCAGACTGAAAGGTCCCAGGTTCGATTCCGGTCAAGGGCATGTACCTTGGTTGCGGGCACATCCCCAGTACGGGGTGTGCAAGAGGCAGCTGGTCGATGTTTCTCTCCCATGGATGTTTCTAGCTCTCTATCTCTCTCCCAATAAAATATATTTAAAAAAAAGAAAAGAAAAAGAAACCCCTTCCCTATCATTAGCAGTTATGCCCAATCCTGGAAACCACTAATCTACTTGCTGTCTCCACAGATTTCCCTATTCTGGGCATTTCATATAAATGGAATCATACAATAAGTGGCCTTTTGTGCCTGGCTTCTTTCACTTAGAATACACTGTAGCTGAATAATATCCCATTCCTTTTTTTTTTTTTTTTTTTTTTTTTTTTTTAAATATATTTTATTGATTTTTTACAGAGAGGAAGGGAGAGAGATAGAGAGCTAGAAACGTCGATGAGAGAGAAACATCAACCAGCTGCCTCTTGCACACCCCCTACCGGGGTTGTGCCCGCAACCAACGTACATGCCCTTGACCGGAATCGAACCTGGGACCCTTCAGTCCGCAGACCGACGCTCTACCATTGAGCCAAACCGGCTTCGGCTATCCCATTCCTTTTTAATGGCTGAATAATATCCCATTATATGGATATACCACATTTTTATTTTTATTTTTTTTAATATATTTTATTGATTTTTTACAGAGAGGAAGGGAGAGAGATAGAGAGCTAGAAACATCAATGAGAGAGAGACATCAACCAGCTCCCTCCTGCACATCCCCCACCGGGTTGTGCCGGCAACCAATGTACATGCCCTTGACCGGAATCGAACCCGGGACCCTTCAGGCCGTAGGCTGACGCTCTATCCACTGAGACAAACCGGTTTTTGCACGATATACCACATTTTTAAAAATCCATTCCTAAGCCAGCCAATAAGTCTGCTTACCTTAATGTGTTCTGCAGAAAGTTAGAGAAAGCTGGCAATAGTAAAGCCATGTTATGAGCCTTAAAGATACTTAAGTCATTAAGGCCCCTGAAAATGGCTATAAGAAGAAAGAAAAGAAAAAAAAGAAAAAAAAAATCTATTCCTTAATTTTATGCGTACATAGGGGTCCTGAGACCAAAAAGCTAAAGAAATGCTGTTTAATCAGCTGCCTCCTGTGCAACCCCTACTGGGGATCAAGCCTGCAACCCTAGCATGTGCCCTGACAGGCAATTGAATCAGTGACCTCTTGGTATGTGGGAAAATAGTCAATCAACTGAGCCACACCAGCTGGGCATGTTCTAGAGTTTTGTGATCTGGGTGCATAAATGTATCCACCTTGTGAAAAATGAACCAAGCCTACATTTGTGATGTGTAGGCAAGTCTACATGCAAATTATATTATTATTAAATAAAGTGCCAATATACTTTTATTTATTTTATTAAAAAATTATTGAGCTCGTCCTGGCGAGCTCATCATTGTTGTTTCTATCCCTACCTCCCTCTTCCTTCTTCTCTCTCTGAAATTAAGAAAAACATATTTTTAAAAAATTATTGAGCTCTTTATTGAGAGCTCACTCTGTGCCAGGAAGAATTCTAAGTGTCTCTCTGGATTCTCTGGCAGAATCCCTACAATCACCCCAGGAAGTAAAAACTATCAATGTCTTAATTTTCAAGGCAAGGAAGCAAGAGATTCAGAGAAGTACACTGCCCAGTCCTGGGTCACACAGCACAGAAGTGGCAGTGCCGGGTATAGACTCTGTTTGGCCTTACCCTAAAGCCTAATCCTTCACCTACATCCAACTTTTTATTTAAAAAAAAAAAAAAAATCCAAACAGACAAAAAAGTTGCATCATGAACACCTGCACACCTGATTCAAACATTTTAATATTCTGCCTCCTCTGCTTTATCTGTGCGTGTGTACCCAAACACTCACATTATTTTTTGTCTGACCCATTTGCATGGAGTTGCACTCAACCTGTGCTAAAATAAGGAAATTCCCCTATACAATCACAGCGCCATAGTCACCCCTAACTAACACTAATTAACACTAATTCTCTAATATTTACTATCCAATCCATATTCAGATTTTCCTAATTATCCCCAAAATTACAGTTCTTTTTTCCTTTTAATTTTATAATTTTTCAATTAGAGTTGACATTCCTTATATTAGTTTCAGGTGCACAGCTTAGTGGTTAGAAATTTATATAACTTATGAAGTGATCGCCCCGTAAGGCTAGTACCTGCCTATTATACATGGCTGTAACAATATTACTGATATATATCCACACGATTTATGCTGTACAATGCTGTACTTTATATCCACATGATTTAGTTTTGTGTTTTTTTTTCCAACTAACACCCAGTTATGGTCCTCACATTCCATTTGTCAGATATCTCGAGTCTCTTTTTAACCTAGAATATCCACTCCATTTCTGTTTGGCCATCGACTTGTTGGGGAATCCTACCTACAGAAGCTGATCTCACACACCTTGTCCCCTCTCTGTTGGACACAGACTCCCACGAGCATGCCTATTTTCAGCCTTCTCCTGCTCAGGGTGAAGAACTCAGCTCCGGATGGTTTACATGTTTTCTCTCTCATGATCCATTTCAATCCATCAGGACCCTGACAGTGGCTCCACCCTGTTCTGAGCACTTTTCAGGGACCCTGGGAAGTGGGTATATTAGCATCACCTCCACTGTCCACAGGAGGAAACAGGCTCGGAGAGGTGAAGCCTCTTGTCCCCGTCACACAGCCAGGCCAGGGCCCGACCCCAGGCGGTGTGGCTAACTCACCTGACTGCAGGTATCCTCCTGGCAGGGACTTCTTGACCATCTCTTGCAGCGCTCCCAGCCCCAAGCCCACAGCCAGTCCTGAGGAGTGAGAAGAGCCTGAATGCCCTCTTGCCCGGGGCATCCCCCACCCTCTCTCCTCTGTCTCTCTCTAAGCACACAGTGTCTCCCAGCTCTTTGTACCCAACTCTCTGTCTTTAGCTCAGTCACTTAACTCCCTCTGCTTGGGTTTCTCTTCAAGGCGAGGCCAGCTCTCTCTGTTCCTCTCTATAGGTCTGTCTCCTGTGTCAGCAGTTTTCACCCCTCGCTGCACATTTGAGTCGAGTAAGGAGCTTTTGTAAATACAATGCCCAGGTCCCACCCCTGAGGTTCTGACTAAACTGGCCTGAGATGAGGCCTCAGGATTTATCTTTTTATTAAGCATTCCACATGATTTCCGTGTACAGCCAAAGGTAAGAAGACTCCAAAATGGTCCCCCAAGTCTCTCTGACTTCCTATGATTCCCGTTTCTCTGTCCACAATCTCTTCATGTTCACCTTTCCTATGTCAGCTATTTCTTCATCTTCCCCCTCCCCTACACTTGACTTACCTATCTAGGCCTCTTTCTCTCCGTTCCTTCTTTTGATGTTCTGGACAACTGTTTTCCTCTTGTCTCCTTGTCCCTAAAGATAGCTTGAGTCTCTCTGCCTCTTTCACTATCACCATAACCAAATACCCAAAGCTGGCATTTTCTGAGCATTCTACACGCCAGGAACCATTCCTAATGGGTTATATGCTTTAATTCATTTTGTCCCCATACCCTCATGTAGTAAGTTTTGTAGCAAAACTTCCATTTTACAGAAAAGGAAATAAAGGCTCAGAGAAGTTAAGTAACTCATCCAAAGTCACAAAGTGAGGATGTAGCAGAATCACCCCTGGAAGCCCGTGGCAGCACAGGGCCAAAGCTCTAACCACTGCACTCAACTTCCTCTTTATACTGTGAATTGTCTTTAAAGCTTGAACCGGAAGATAATTGCATTATAACCGGTAAGTACCAATATACTTACAATGTTTCATGAAAAAATATTTTCCTTTACTAGAATAAAGGTGAACTCCTATTTTCCATTCTATACTTTGTAATTATTTCATGCAGGTTGAGTCCTGAAGTTTGAACCATTCTGCTGCTCCCCTGAGGTCAAGTCACTTCACCTCTTTTAGCCTCCATGTCCTCATCTATAGAATGGAAATACCCAATCATCAACTCAGTGCAGATATCACATGCCTGGGGCCTTGCACCGAGTTCTCAATAAATATTCCCTTCCCTTCTATTTCTCTTGGTTTTGCAGGTCTTTACTTTCGTCCTCTTTTCATCTCTCCCTAATTCACCCTCTCCCTTACTTAATTCTGTAAATGTTGCTTCCTCTGACCTGAGTCACAATCTCCCACAGTCACACCTACCCCCAAAGTTAGCCAAGCGGCTGATGCGGGAGGCAGGCACCTTGCGTTCTCGAGAGCGGTCACTCAGCTGGAAAATGGGGAGAAGGTCTGAGGATGGGAAGGTGGGTACAGTGCCCAGGAAGTCCAAACAACCTGCCACCACACTACTCCCCAAGCTCGGAGGCCAGCTGCCTTAATGGGGTGGGAGGTGGGAGGCAATGATACCTTGGGCCGAGGTGTCTTCCTGAGCCGGGCCTTCCGGGCCTTGCAAATGTCCTCCTCACTCAGGCCTCGGCCAGACCCACCCTGATGAAGCTTTTGGGCCCCAGAACCCTTACGTGGCCCCTGCAAGAGATGTGGACATTGGTAAGTGAAAGTCATGGGGTCTGCCGGCCCTTTGGATTCCTCCCTAGCCCTTCACTTACTGACGATTCCCTCTGGCTCTTACCTTAGAGACCCCTCCCCAGTATCTTACCCACCAGTGGGGCCCAGACCCCAGGGCCCCATAAGGCAGACCAACAGTCCGGCCCAGCTGTCCACAGGTCCCCCGCAGTCGGCCCCCCACTTCCAGCCACATCGCCTGGGGGAGAAGAGGAGGAATTATTCGGGCAGGAGTTGTGGGGCCGACCTCTGGCTTTACTCCACCCACCCCAAGCCCTCACAGTCCAAGGGTCTGCCCTAGGACTCCCACCCAGCAGACTTCCTCCCCTGATAAAGGCCCCTCCTGGTTCCCTCCGGTTGCTAGGCACCCACAGCTGTTCCTGCTTTTCTACCCAAGCTCACTTTCTCTGTCCCACTTCCCCGCCGTTGCTAGGGTCCGCTCTCATAGCCAGACACCCACAGATCCTCCGGGCCACCTCTCCCCTTCTCTGAGCCCCCTCGTCGCCAGGCACCGCCTTCCCCTCTGTTGCTAGGCACCCACAATCCCCCCCACCTCCCGAGGACCCACCACGTTGTTATTGGGCACCTCCCCTGTTGCTAAGCACCCACAGCTCGGGGCTCCGGGTCAGTAATGTGTAGGGGGCCGCTAGCACTTCCGGGAGCCTCCACACGCCCGCCCTCCCGGCCAGTTAACCAATGGTGGAGCAGCAGTTTGTTGACTGGCACCAAGAACTCCTCGCTGTGCGCAGGGGCGGGGCCAAGGCCAGGGCGGGGACGTTGGCAACGTTGGGAGATTACCTGGGCCTTGCGGGAGCACGCACGTGCTTTTATTGGCTTCCACCATCTCAAAGTGCCCTGTGTGCGGCAGACGTTTCTGTTCCGTACCCCGGCTTCCTTGCAAACTTCCCTCTCCCTAACAAACTTCACACCTCTCCTCTGCACGGACATCTTGTGAATCTCATTTCTACCGCCAGCATGTTCAACAGCTCTCCTTTGAACACACGTCTTCCCTGCAAACATTTCCCATGTACGGGAAGCCCATCCACTTTGCATTTCCACCCTCTGCTTCCTGCATTCACATCCTGGCCCACAGCCTCCTCTCTCGCGCGCGCGCTCGCGCGCTCTCTCTCTCTCTCTCTCTCTCTCTCTCGGCAAATTTTACTTTGGTGTTACTAGAAGTTGACCATAAAATCTTGCCTAGAAAATACTGTTTTTTAGAAATAAAATATATTTCTATTGATTTCAGAGCGGAAGAGAGACTTGAAACGTCAATGAGAATAATTGATCTGCTTCCCAGACCCTCAGGCCTATGCTCTTCACTGAGTCAAACCAGCTAGGGGGGGAAATATTCTTTTGAAACAGTTTATTGTTGAAAGTATTATAGAGCTCTCCCATCCCTTCCCCACACCGGAATCCCCTCCCCTCCCCGCCCCTCCCCTCCCCTCCCTTCCCCGCCCTCCTCTTCTCTGCATTGACCTTACCCTCCCCCCCAGGACCCCTCCGCAGGACCCTTCCCCCTCCTCCACAGGAGCCCTCGCTCCTTCTCATGGTGTGCATTTGCTTTGCTTGTAAGTACGGAAACACTTTCATTTCTTAGGATGTGCCCTTGGATACGGAGAAAATCTTACACCGCCACTAAACTAGGTCTCAAAACCCCTTTATTTCTCTTTTTTTGGACAAAGCAAACAAGCCCTGCCGAAGCAAGGCCACCAAAAATTTTGGTTGCCTCCCAAAAAAAAAATTGGGAGAGAGAGAAATTTTTGAGAGAGAGATACTGGCTGCTCTCCTGCCGCCACATCTTCAGTAAAAGCAAATCCTATTTCAATGACATTGCCAAGCCCTGGTGTTTGAATAAAAATTTCCATGTTACTCTGTATATAGCTGTCTAATCTTCAAAAAAGGTAAGTCGAAGAAAATTTCAAGTTTGTCCTTTAATCTTGGATTTCCTCTTGAATATCATTTTCCCATCAGCCTTTGCATTTACGTGCTATGCAAATTTTACCTTGGATTTTTACTAAAGCCATTGCTCATAAAATGTTGTCTAGGAAGTACTTTTCAAAAAATATTTCTTGCCCAAACCGGTTTGGCTCAGTGGATAAAGCGTTGGTCTGTGGACTGAAGGGTCCCGGGTTTGATTCCGGTCAGGGGCATGTGCCTTGGTTGCGGGCATATCCCCAGTAGGGGGTGTGCAGGGAGAAGCTGATCTGTGATTCTCTCTTATCATTGATGTTTCTACCTCTCTGTCCCTCTCTCTTCCTCTCTATAAAAAGTCAATAAAATAGCCAAAACCGGTTTGGCTCAGTGAATAGAGTGTCGGTCTGTGGACTGAAAGGTCCCAGGTTCGATTCCAGTTAAGGGCATGTACCTTGGTTGCAGGCACGTCCCCCAGTGGGGGTATGCAGGAGGCAGCCGGTCGAATTTTCTCTTATCCATGTTTCTAGCTCTCTGTCCCTCTCCCTCTCTGTAAAAAATAAATAAAAATATATATTTTTTAAAAAGTCAATAAAATAAAATTTTTAAAAAAGATTCTCTTTAAAAAAATTTTTCCCCTTATTGTTGATAGTATTACAGCTGCCTGCCAATCCCCCACCCCCACCCCGGCCAGCCCTCTGGCGCCACAGCAAGTCTTCATTATTTTACCCCATTGGTGGTGACCACTCTCCTTGAGAAGTGTATAAAGACTTTGATAAATCCCCCCATTTCCTCCCTTAACCTAAATCCACCCAGATTCTTCCACTTCTTTCTTTAGAACGAAGGACGAAAGCCTAGATGAAGCCAAAAATTTTGGTTGCCTCCCCCCCAAAAAATTGGGAGAGAGACAGGCCCCCTTCTTTACTTGGCAATTGTCTCCTTCAGCTCTCACCCCATACATAAACCCCTCACCTCAGCTCCTTGCATTTCTGGCCCCTGTTCCCTCATATTCCCTGCTCTCTCTGCTCCCTGCCCACCTGCAGGATGGCCTGAGTGAAACTCCTCCGTTTCCCCTGGGCCTGACATTTCCCAGAACACACTCAGCCAAAATTCCCAGTGCTGAGTCAGGAGACTTGGCATTCCAGAAAACCAGCTGCCATCCCATCTGGGTGTGTGTGTCTTGGGTGGGGGTGTGTAGGCAGCTTAAAGCCTGCTCCCCCCACAACGCGCTGACTCACCCCTCTTGTCACAGTCAGGAAGCAGCTGGCCAGGTCCTCTCTTCCACTGCTGGGAGGGCACGTGACGCTTCCTCACAGAACCTCTGCCCCTGTCTAACCCTTTTGTCGGGAATCAGATATCCCTGTCTCTGTTCCTGTGCTATGTGACCTCAGAAGAGCCTTGACCCTTTCTGGACTTCTTTCCCAACCTATATGATGTGTGAGGGGGTCTCTGCTATGACTTGTCATTGGTCCGTGAAGAGATGACTCATTTTAGATTCCTGGGCCTGGGCCCAATGCCCCTCCCACAGGTGACTCAATAAGACAAACCATCCCGTCCCCCTTCAGACACAGGGTCTGACTCAGGAGCTGGGTGACAGGTAAAAATATGTACAAGTACCTATGACAAGAACTAATTCACATGGTGTGGCAGGTGGTGCCAAGCCTGAGGCCACCTGCAGGCCATATAAACAAAGGCTAGAGGCTGGGAGATCTCTGAGCCTCAGGATCCCCATCTGTAAAATGGGGCTGTGTCAGCACTTCCTGCTCAGTGATAGTGAGAGAGAGAGATGCAGTGAAATAGTGTCCATAAAGAACAGAGGGGCCCTAGCTGGTTTGGCTCAGTGGATAGAGTGTCGGCCTGCGAACTTAAGGGTCCCGGGTTGGATTCCGGTCAAGGGCATGTACCTTGGTTGTGGGCATATCCCCAGTGGGGGGTGTGCATTCTCTCTCATTGGTGTTTCTGGCTCTCTATCCCTCTCCCTTCCTCTCTGTACAAAAATCAATAAAATATACATTTTTTTAAAAAAAAGAACAGAAGGCCCTGCCCTGGCCAGCATGGCTCAGTTAATTGAACGCCATTCAAATGACCAAAAAGTCACTGGTTCAATTTGGTCAGGGTACATGCTCAGGTTTTGGTCTCAATCCCCATAAGGGGTGTGCAGGAGGCAGCTTATCCATATTTCTCTCTCTCCCCCTTTCCCCTCCTTTCTTTCTAACATTAAAAAAACAAAACAAAAAACAAACAAACAAAAAAACAGCCCTAGCTGGTTTGGCTCAGTGGATAGAGCACTGGCTTGTGGATCAAAGGGTCCCAGGTTTGATTCTGATCAAGAGGACATACATCCCTGGCCAGGGCCCTGGTTGGGCTTGTGCAGGAGGCAATCAACCAATGTGTCTCTCTACCTCTCTCTAAAAATCAATGGAAAAATATGAGTGAGGATTAAAATAAAAACATACTTAAGAAAGAGAGAGAGAGAGAGAGAGAGAGAGAGAGAGAGAGAGAGAGAGAGAGAGAGAGAGAGAGAGAGAGAGAGAGAGAGAGAGAGAGAGAGAACAGATGGCCTGGTTACAGAATAAGAATCTATACACCAGAGAAATTTCTTATGGAGAAATTCTTTTCAAATTTCTATTAAGCACCTATCATGTGCTTTTCTAGGCACTGGGGACATAGCAAGGAACAAAACAAGCAAAAATCTTTGCTCTCTTGGTCCTGGCTTCTGGTGAGGGCACAATCCTATCTCTATAATAAAAGCCCCGAATGACCGGTCGACCAGTCACTATGATGCGCATTGACCAACGGGGGCAGATGCTCAACGCAGTTGCTACCACCTGGTGGTCAGTGCACTCCCATGGCTCAGCTGACTAGGATGAGCAGTGCTCCCACAGTGGGTGGATCCCCGTAGAACACCCCCCCCCACACACACACACCAGTGCATGAATCCCCTGAACCAGACCTCTAGTAAACAAAATAAATGAGTACAGACATACCTTGTTTTTATTGTGCTTTGCTTTATTGTTCATATTGCATTTTTCCTTTTCTTTTTTATATTTTTTATTGATTTTATAGAAAGAGGAAGAAAGATGGAGAGAGAAAGATCAATTGGCTGTCCCCTGCATACCCCCTATTGGGGATCGAGCCTAAGACCCCAGGCATGCATTCTGACCAGGAAATCAGACCAGCAACAGCAATCTCTAGATGCACAAAATGTCACCCAATCAACTGAACTATACCATTCTAGGCGTTTCAGGCCATAAAAACTGTGAACAATGCACTGCCCTGGGGGTGGGGGAGGGTCTTTATCACTGGCCCCAGGACAGATCATCAGATATGACCTAGGGACCCCCAACACCTGGGGAGCTTCCTGTAAGCCCATGAAAGGAGGCAGAACCATATCTGCAAGCAAAGACCCCAGAAGGTTATAAAGAGTGAAGCCCTCTGCATGTTTCTTCACTCAGATTTGGAAATTATTCCTTGAGTCCACTAGTGTCAATAAACAGGGTCCCTCCCTTTCTCTAGGAAGTGTGCTTCGTATTTCTTTGGTCTTCTGCAACAAGGCCAATAAAGTATTTTTTAAATTAGGGCATGTACATTGTTTTTTTAGGCATAATGCGATCATACACTTAATACCATGTTTCCCTGAAAATAAGACATCCTCCGAAAATAAGACCTACTTACAGGTTTCCTTCTGAGTGAAATATATGGCAGCCCCCCCTGAAAATAAGGCCCCCCCCTAGGCTAAACATGAGAGATTTGGTCCACTGATTCTGAAAGAAATGGAATTTCTTCACAAGAAATTCACCATGAAATTCAGGAATTGGATTGTTATGATGATGTTCCAGAAGATGATGACATGATTGTCATTGAATAAATGAGTAAATTCTTGATACTGTAGGATTCACAGTTTGTCTGGTTTGTGTTGACAACTACCGTACTACCGTACCGTATACAAGTAATAAATTTCCTTTATTTTCATTTAACAATAAATGTGTACCGTATTCTTCTTCATGGAAAAGTAAGACATCCCCTGAAAATAAGACCTAGCGCATCTTTGGGAGCAAAAATTAATATAAGACACTGTCTTATTTTCGGGGAAACAGGGCAGACTACAATATAGTGTAAATATAACTTTTACATGCATTGGGAAACCAAAAAATTCCTTGACTTACTTTATTGCTGTATTCACTTCATTGTGGTGGGCTGGAATCAAACCCACAATATCTCTGTGATATGCCTGTATGTTTAATAAGGTGACATGTGTTAAAGAGAAAAATAAACCTGGGAAGGGGGTCAAGGAGAGGAAGGAAGAATGTGAGATTATATAGGATGTTCAGAAAGGCCTCGCTGAGGAGGTGACATTGAAACAAAGACTTGAAGAAGGTTAGGGAGGGAACTATTCCTGAGGGAAGGGTGTTCCAGGCAGAAGGATCAACCAGTGGATCCTCGGAGGCCAATGGGCAGAATAAGGAAAAGAGAGGAGATTTGGTTTGGGAGATAACTAGAGCCAGATCATGTAGAATATATGAGCCATGAGGAGGACTGTGGCTTTTACCCTGAGTGGGATGGGAAACATGGAGTGTTCTGAACAGAGGGTTATGATCTAATTTAGAGAAAATACTCTTACTTCCAGCTCCTCCTCCAACACCCCAACCTCAAAAGCAAGTTATATCACCCAGTAGGGAACAAAAGCTCAGACTTTGGATAAGGTTGGCCTAGGTTCAGATCTACACAATTTAGATATGTGATCTTGGATTTTGACTTTCTGTGCCTCTGTTTCCCTGACCATGGATGGTGGTAATTCCTACCTCAAAAGGTACAGGGTATAAAGTGGTAAGTACAGTCCATGGCACAAAGCAAGTACACAAATGTCTATGTTGCTGTAAATAAATAAAAATTCCCATAACCCCCCCCCAAAAAAAAATTCCCATAACGCCCCCCCCAAAAAAAATTCCCATAACCCGGTGGGGAAATTATCATTGCTATCCCCTTTTTACAGATGAGGAAACTGAGGTTCAGCGGATACAAGTCTGTTGGAGCCAGGATGAGTTAAGGCCATCCCTTGCTTTGTCCCTCATCTAACCTCCCTTTGACCTTAGGCAAATTCACTACTCTGGGCCTCAATTTCCCTGCTGGTAACGTACTTGGCTTTTGTGGTATTGAACACATTTTTTCGAAACAATCAAGTAATATTATGTACCCTCATTTAACAGGTGACAAAATGAGCTCGGGTAAGGGCGGAAGCCATTCGTTCAAGGTAACACAGCTGGGAATTGGCAGAGGTGGGTCTCAAACTCACACATCCCTGGGATCCCCAAGTCTTTGGAACGCTGCTGGACTCGTCCCCGAGAGTTATAAGAGGCTTGATTGGTCACTCAAAGTGTAGGGAGGTTAGATTAGTCGCGGGGTTCTAGGGAGGGGCCCCACTGCCCCTCAAGCAGGACCCCAGGGGGCCTACACCTCACCAGGATCACCTTGTGGCGCTGGGACTCCATCCCTCCGCGGGAGGGGGCGGGGACAGACGAGGTCCCGCCCTGCGCCCCGCCCCCTACGCCACGTCCTGTGGGCGGGGCCTCGGGCTTCCCCGGAGGTGGAGTATCGGTTAACCACTGTGTGGACTGGAGATCCGCGGGCCGGAACCGCGAGTCGGGGATCCCCCGCCACACCCCTCTCGGGATTTAAAGGGCCAGGAGGGGCCGTGTCGGGCCGAAGTCCGAGCTGAGGGAGCGGGCATGAGACGCTGCCCGTGCCGGGGGGGTGTGAACGAGGCAGAGCCCGGGGCGCTGCCGGTAGCGGGGGCCCGCATGGGGCTGGAGGCGCCGCGAGGGGGGCGGCGGCGGCAGCCTGGGCAGCAGCGCCCGGGGCCCGGCGCCGGGGGCCCGGCGGGGCGGCCGGAGGGGGGCGGGCCCCGGGCCGGGGCCACGGGGTCCTGCCTCCACTCTGAATGCGAGAAGGCCAGCCTGGGGCCTGAACCGGGCACAGACAGACCAACCGAGCCTGAAGCTGCCGGGCTCGGAGCGGAGACAGAGCGGCCCAGTCAGAAGACGGAGCCAGACCGGTCCAGCCTGCGGACACATCCAGAGAGGAGCAGCCACTGGTCAGAGCCGGACACCCCCGGCCCCTGCACGGAGGAGACTGGCACAGATGGATTTTGTTCGGACCCACGCAGGCCTGGCCTCCAGGCTCGGCCACAGAGGGCCAGGCTCTGGACACATCCAAGCGTTGATGTGGCCTGGACAGAGTCAGAGATCCATGGGTCACAGACCCAGCCAGAGAGGTCCAAGCCCTGGACGGACCACCCCTGGACCCGCCAAAAGAGCTCCAGCCTTCAGACTCAGCTGGAGGGGGCCTGGCAGGAACTGTACCCTGATGGCTCCGGGACACAACAGGATCCCGAAGGCCCCTGGAC